CAACACAGTTAAGAATTTCAATACTTCAATCTTAATAACTGATAGAAAAACTAGAAAATGTATCAAAAAGAATTTTTTGAAGAACTGAAGACATGAATGACACCATCAACCAACTTGACCTAAGTGATATTTACAGAACACGGTATGTAACAAAAGTAGAATACATATTCATTTCCAGTAATATAGCTATAAACTCCTATATTAGAAAAGGAAGGTTAGATTAATAATCTAAGCTTCCACCTTAAGAAACTAGAAAAAGAGCAAACTAAATCGAAAGCAGCAGAAGGATGGAAATAACAAACACCAAAGCAGAAATCAATGAAATTTCGGAAAACACAGGAAAAGGAAAAAATTAATTAAAAAGAGTTGGTTTTTTGAAAAACAACAAAAACAACAAAATAATATTGCCAGACTTACTAAGAAGAGCAAAAACACAAATTGCCAGAATCAAGAATAAAAGAGAGACCATCACTAACAACCCTCCCAAAATAAAAAGGACAATAAGAGATTATTATGAACTGTGTCATTCAATAAACAACTTAAATGGGCAAATTCCAAACATATAAATTTCAACATTTGTCTCAAAAAGTAATAAAAAATGTGAATAGACTTATAACAAGTAAAATAACTAAGTAAGTAATTTAAATTTTTGCCATAAAAAAACCCGAGACTCAGGTGGCTTCCTTGCTAAATTCTATAAAATATTTATAAGAAATTAATATCAATCATTCACAAAATCTTATCATTAAAGACAGGAGGAACCACTTCCCAACTCATTCTATGAGGCCAGTATTATCCTGACTACAACGCCAGACAAACAAATCACAAGAAAACTATAGGCCAATACACTCATTAAAATAGAAGCAAAAATACTTAACTAAATATTAGCAAACTGACTCCTACAACATATTAAAAGGATTATATACTATGACCAAGTGGAATTCATGTCAGGAATATAAAGTTAACATTTAAATATCAATTCATATAAATAATCATATTAATAAAAAAGAAAACCCACATGATCATCTTAACAAAGGAGGCATTTGTCACAATCCGACGCTCATTAAGGATAAAAACTCTCAATAAACTTGGAATAGAAGGGAACTTCCTCAACTTGACAAGAAGGTTCTATGAAGAACCTTCACCTAACATAATACTTACTAGTGAAAGATTGAATGCTTTCACTCTAAAATCAGGAAATAGGGAAAGCTGTCCATTCTTACTACTACTGTGCAATATCTTATTCGCGGTCCTAACTAGTGCAGTAAAGTAATAAAAAGCAATAAGAGGCATCCAAATTTGAAAAGAAAAGGAAAATTTTCAATTTTTTCACTGTAAACATAATTCTGTTTGTAGAAAATGCTAAGGTATCAAAAAAACAACAACAAACCCCTAGAAGTAATGAGTAAGTTTAGTGAGGTTACAGAATATAGGATTAACATACAAAAATCAATTGCACTTACTTACATACTTATTTATTTATTTGAGACAGGGTATTGCTCTGTCGCCCAGGCTGTAGTACAGTGGCACAATCACAGTTCACTGCAGCCTCCAATTTCTGGTCTCAAGTCATCCTCCTTCCTCAGCCTCCCAAGTAGCTAGAACTACAGCTGTGCACCATCATGCCTAGGTAAGTTTTTTATTTTTATGCTTTAGAGACAGGTCTTTTCATGTTGCCCAGGCTGGTCTTTAACTTCTGGCCTCAAGTGATCCTCCCACCTCAGCCTCCCAAATGCTGGGATTACAGGTGTGAGTCACTGTGCCCAGTTCAATTGTATTATACTTTAATGTACTAATAAGGAATAATTTAAAAATGAAATTAAGAAAGTAATTTCATTTGCAATAGCTTCAAAAAGCATAATATACATAGGAATAAGTTTTTAAAGAAGTATAATACTTATACACTAAAAATTTTGCTGATAAATTAAAAAAGATCTAAATAAATGTAGCAACATGCTCTGTTCAAGAAACAGAAGCTTCGAAATTGTTAAAATACCAACTATGCCCAAATTAATCTATAGTCAATGCAATCTTTACCAAAATCAGGAGGCTTTTTTCAGAAATTAACAAAATGATCCAAAATTTATATGAAATTTAAGAGACTTAAAATAACCAAAAAAATTTTAAGAGGAACAACATAAAAGACTTAAACTACTCAATTTCAAAATGTATTATGTTACAGTGATAAAGACAGTGTGATGCTGACACAGAGACACAGAGATCAATTGAACAGAATTGAAAGTTCAGAAATAAATCCCATATACCTATGGCCAATTGATTTTCAATAAAGTTGATAAGACAATTCAGTGGCAAAAGGGTGATGTTTTCAACAAATGGTGCCAAGACAATCTATGAGCAAAAATTAAATTAAGACCCTTACCTCACACCATGTAAAAAAGTTAACCTAGAATGAATCATAGACTTAAATGTAAGAGCTAAAACTGTAAAATTACCAAAAAAAAAAAAAAATGTAGGCAAAATAATCAGAATCTTGTATTAGGCTTTGATTTTTTAGATTTGTCAACAAAAGCATAAAGCATAAAAGAAAAAAATAGGTAAACTGAATTTAATCAAAATTAAAAACCTTTGCTCTTCAATGAAAGTGAAAGGACAAGTCAGAGATCAGGAGAAAATATTTGCGAATCACGTATCTGATAAAGGACTTGTATACAGAAATACATGAAGTACTTCTACAACTCAGGTATCATAGACTGACTTTTAAAAATGGGCAAAAAATGTAAATGGACATTTTTCCAAAGAAGATATATGAATAACCAATTAGCACATGAAAAACATTAAATATCAGTAGTCATTACGGAAATGCAAATAAAACCCACTATGAGATAACAACTGTGATGATTCTAATCAAAGGGACCGACGGTGCCAAGTGTGGCATCATGTCTGACAGAAACACCATTCTTTCAGCTGCACACGTCAAACATCTTAGAGTAATGCCTGACTCCTAGATTTCTCTAGATTTCTCTCACGACTCACGTCCAATCCATTAGTATATCCTATCAGCTCTATCTTCAAAATATATTCATAATCCTACCATTTCTTACCTTCTCTACTGCTACTAGCCAAAATTATTTGTACCCCACAATACTTTGAAATTAAAAAAAAGAACTAAAAATTTTAAACACTATAAATTACAGAAAATCCATTATTAGTGTTTTACATTAAGCAGAACAAGTATATATTCAATCAACAGCTCTTGCCACTTCTTTTGCTATATATAAACTAACAGCATGCATCCAAAATCTTAGTGTTGAAATCAGCCAAGAGCTATTTATCTTTTGATAAATAGGCACTTTGAAATCTTTGCTAAAAGACTAAAGAATTAGTCACTTATTGTTTGAGAAATATTTAACAATCACCTACTACTTGCCAGACTCTAGATGACATTTAGCACTATTTCTCATATGGACCATTGTAGTAGCCTTGCTACTGTTCTTGATTTCAATCAAGTCTCCTCTCCTTTAACCCATCCTAAACATTTTTGCCAATTATCTTACCAAAACCCAAATATCATAATTACAATTTTGCTTCAAATCTTCCGAGGCTCCCCATTTTAAATAAAAGTCTAAATATCCTATAGTAGGCCTTTTGGGACCTAGACACCCAATTTTATTCCAATAATACCCTCTTACCACAGACACAGACACCGACACACACACACACGAATATCCCCTATCACAATGTCTTCAGATATTCTGTTCCCTTTATTTGGAATGATTTTTCACACAAACATCCTTCAATTTATCCATAAATGCCACTTCTCTAAGGTCTACATATGACTAACCCTACTCATCCTTGAAAACATGTCTCAAGAAGTTTTACCTAATTGTTCCATAGTAAATTTAAGACTTTTTCTTTTTCTCTTAATACTTTGTAGTATCTTGGTACTGTTTATACCCTGTACTTACATAGTTCTATACAATTGCAGATTTATTTGTTTCCAATATAGTCTGTGAGTACCTATAATTTTTTCTGAGGGAAAAAATTTTAGTAGTATTTAAAATCAAATAAAGTTATCATGCTTTTGTCTCCTTTCTCTATAACATTAATAAGAGAGAGAGCCTAGATTCCTAGTTATTTGTTCAGGCAGTTACCAGAGGACTAATAGTGCCAGTCCTCTAACAACATTAGCCAAAACACTACAAACAAACATTGCTGAAAGAATAACTTTGCTCAGGGCAGCCAATCACATCTTTCAATCTATATTGTGGGTCTTCAGTTCCATTAATGCAAAACCAACTACCACAAAACAGAAAAAACTGGTCTACTCATCATTTCCTCAATTTACTTTTACCTTTTAATTCTTTCACTCTCTTAAATTTGTTTTCTCCCTTTTATCTCTCTTTTCATCCCTATACTTTCTTTCCTTCTCTTTCCTAGCAATGAATGTTCTTTCTTACAATTCTTCTGTTTCTGCTCTGTAAGTAGAAAATATACACCTATTCCCTTGACCCCCTTTCTCATAACCTCACAACACAAAACTTGTTCCCCTACCTCCTATAGCTAGCCCATGATATAAGATAATATAGACATCTAAATCTAATTTGGTTCTGTAAACATAAAACAACTTTATGTTAATAAAGTCCAAATAAGTATGGCTTTTCCTTATATCTACAAATAGAATTATCAATTTACTTTTGCCAAATTTAACTACGTTTACTGAAAAATAAAAACCAGAACTTCATCAAGAAGCATATAATTATAAAATGGTTCAATCTTGATATATATGTAAAAATCAACATGTGAGAGCTCCACTAAATTACTGATTGAAAAAAACAATAAATATATGGTGATGGGTATACTAAAAGCCCTGACTTCACCATTATACAATTCATCCAGGTAACAAAAAAAACACTTGTACCCACTAAATCTATTGAAATAACAAAAATACAATAAGTATAGAACCCAAAAATATCAGTTCCCATGAGAAAAATACAGTAAGATTTTTAAATTAAAATAAAAATGGATATAAAACAGATTACCTTCCTTCATTGACAAGTTCAATAAAAGCAAGGCCAGCATTCTTCTGAATAGAATTCTGCCACTCCTAAAAAAATAGCAAAAAATAGCTGAAGAAATTTCACTCAGGTTATTTCTTTTAAAACAACACTAATGAAAAAACATCACCCATTTCAATTTTAAACCTTACCTCTTAAAGGAAAAGTTTGTTAAACCACACAAATAGCTGATACCGAAAAGTACATTAAACAAGTTAGCAACAATTTGATTCAGCGTAAACTAATCCTATCCATTTTTATCCATAATTATACCCTTTTCTTTTATATCATTATAAACTAATTTAACTGAAATAACTGGGAGTTGGGAAAGAAGGCAGCAAAGAAAACCAGGGACAAATACAGATTTTGTATTTGTATTCCCTGGTTATGATTTTTTTGTTTGTTTGTTGTTGTTTTTTTTTTAATGTATCACCCAAAATGAAGAGAAGAGAGAATTAAGTAGTTTAATAACCCTAACAAAAAAGAACACATTTTACCATAAAAATTGATGACTAATGATTGAGAAAGAGACAAGAAAAATCAGTGAATTGGGCTACACTAGTTTTGAGCTGGAAACCTGTAATCCATTGCCCTTTGAATTAGCAATAACTAGTATAAATTTACTAACAATATTCTTTCTTCATTAAAAATGTATCCATTAAACTTTATCCACTAAAAAGATATCCATTAAAAAGCTAAGGAAGAAAATCAAATTTGCAGAGCATGTAAAATTAATTTTTTAATCCTTATCTCAAAACATATAAAATAAGCATTAATACAATAAGGAAAGACCTGCATAATTGAAATATACCTAAATTTGAGAATTGCCATTGAATGCTCACATGTGTGTATGTGTGTGTGTTTGTACATGTCTATATAAACACACACACACAGTTTTTTTTAAGAATAGAAATACATAATCATTATGTTCGTTAACATTTCAGGAGGCCCTTGTATTCTAACTACCTAATATCCCTCAACTGATTTATTTTTGTTCTTCCGTAAGACTATGGTGAGCTACTTAGCACTGTACAACATAAACCATATTTATATGTACTGAATGTAATAACTTTAATAAGAGTTTAAAATTCCATGTAATTTCACCCTAATGACTATTCAGTTCCACTCCAAATTCTTATTTTTTTTAGCCTCATCCTTTCCCTTCTACTTTCTCCTTTCTATCCCCATTTTTGCACTACCTTCTTTTGTTTTGAAAATCCCAAGGTGGTTCTCAGGACCACATGCCATGATTTTGTTGCAGGGTTCTATTTTATGAATAGCGTTAGTATGATCATGCTAACAGAACATATACAGTAGAATGAAAATTAAATAGTCAGATATTGGAGGGTAGTCACTGGCTAGATCTAGCAGAGAAGAAAAAATATATATATTGAAAAAGAAAATATATTGATGAGGAAAGAACAAGAAATAAAAAGGCATAAAATCCATGTTCTCACTCTGATTCTGACAATAACGAGATATATTCTTGGATAGATCATGCTATTTAATACATCTACAAGTCTTAAATACTCCCTTAAAGGCCGGCGCAGTGGCTCACGCCTGTAATGCTAGCACTCTGGGAGGCTGAGGTGGGCGGATTGTTTGAGCTCAGGAGTTCGAGACCAGCCTGAGCAAGAGCGAGACCCCGTCTCTACTAAAAATAGAAAGAAATTAATCGGACAACTAAAAACATACAGAAAAAATTAGCCGGGTATGGTGGTGCATGCCTGTAGTCCCAGCTACTCGGGAGGCTTAGGCAGAAGGATTTCTTGAGCCCAGGAGTCTGAGGGTGCTGTGAGCTAGGCTGACGCCACGGCACTCTAGCCCGGGCAACAGAGTGAGACTCTGTCTCAAAAAAAAAAAAAAAAAATACTCCCTTAAAAAAGTTTATTTCAGGCATGATATTTCATTCTTCTATATTTTATTAACATTTAAAAAGTAGTGACTCATAAGTCTATAACAGATTCTCTCTCAAAATTCATACTGAATTTATATTTTACTGAAACTGTAAAATAAAAATACTAAATTTCTTTCAGTGAGGTAAATAAAATCAGGTATAAAATAGAAATATTGATCTAACTTAAAGCTCATTTCTTTCCATCAAAATGACATGAATAGGCAGTTGAAAGGGAAGCAAATTCCATAAAAGAGTATATTCCTGAGAGAAGAATATGTGCCACACCTTCCTCTCTTCTCAAAAGGTAGGAAGAGGGAGATGAAAAAAAGCAGAAGCCTCAGATAAATTTTTTGATCCTGGTACAGAGAGTCCCACATCTCACTTCCCAAGCACATTGCAGGTAGATAATAAGACTCAAAGAATTGCTCTAAATCTAAAAATGCACAAGAACAGTAAAATAGAGACAAATTTAATGGCAGATGAACCTAAACAACCTCAAACTGTCTCATGCCCTAGGAAGACTCACAGAATTATCCTAGAAGGATGTACAAGTAGCTTAGGATTTAAGAGGATGAAGAGAACACAACTATTACCTTTGTGGATAGACAGCAAGTGATGAAAAGGGAGTGTGACAGATATCTCAATAGATGCCATAGCAAAGGAACAGGAGCATATCCTCACTCTTCAGCTCTTATACCCAACATAGCACTCTTGGCAAGCCAACTGGAAATTTAATGTAGCCCCAATAGGAAGATGAGACCATAAATTGAGTGAGTTTTCATTTAGAGCACTTAAGGAAAATCTCAAAATGGAAATTAAATTTTAAAAAGATAAAATGAAGAAAAGTTACTTTTCTTGCTAGAAAAAAAGAAATCAGTAAGAGAGGGACTAGTGTTTTATATATAAATTTTTTAATCATTTTGTTTTCAAAAGTATCTAAAGTATCTGCCATTAAGAACAAGGGAAGGATGTCCTCTCTCACTACTGCTTTTCAACATCATTCCGGAAATCCTGTCTAATGCAATAAGATAAGAAAAGTAAATGAAAAGTATATAGATTGGGCCAGGCTTGGTGGCTCAAATATGTAATACTAGCACTTTGGGAGGTTGAGCAAGGAGGGAGAATCAATTGAGCCCAAGAGTTTGAGATCAGCCTGAGCAACACAGCGAGACCTCATCTCTACAATAAAAAAAATGAGCCAAGTTTGGTAGTGTGTACCTATAGTCCTAGCTATTCTGGAGGCTCAGGTGGGAGGATCCCTTCAGCCCAGGAGTTTGAAGTTGCAGTGAGTTATGATGACACCACAGTACTCTAGAGTGGGCAACAGAGCAAGACCCTGTCTCAGGGGGGAAAAAAGTATATAGATTGAAAAAGAAGAAATAAAACTATCTTTGTTTGCAGATGGACATGATCATCAGTTTGAAAACCTGAAAGAATTGACAAAAAAATCCTGGAATTAATAAGTGATAATAGCAAGGTTGCAGGACACAAGGTTAATATACAAAAGCCGACCATTTTCCTTTATACCAGCAATGAACAAGTGAAATTTGAAATGAAAAGCACAATACCATCTACATTAGCATCGTAAAAATAATTAGGTATTAGTCTAACAAAATATATACAAGATCTATATGAGAAAACTTACAAAATTCTGATCAAAGAAATCAAAGTAGAACTAAATAAATAGAGAAATATTCCACGTTCATGGTTAGAAAGACTCAAAGCTGTCAGGATGTCAGTTCTTCCCAAACCGATCAACAGATTCAATGCAGTTCCAATCTACATCCCAGCAAGTTGTTTGCTGGATATTTACATACTGATTTTAAAGTTTATATAGAGAAGGATAAGACTCAGAACAGCCCATACAATAGCGAAGAAGAAGAACAAAGTGGGAAACCCTGACACTATCTGACTTTAACACTTACTATAAAGCTAAATAATCATGACAGGGTGGTCTGGCAGAAAATAGACACATCGATCAATGGAACAAAATAAAGAGCCAAGAAACAGACACATATAGTTAACTGATCTTTTACAAAGAGCAAAGGCAATACAATAGTGAAATATAGCCTTTTCAACAAATGGTACTGAAACAAATGAAAAAAAAAAAAAGAATCTAGACACAGATCTTACATCTTTCACAAAAATCATCTCAAAATGGATCACAGACCTAAATGTAAAAACACAAAACTATAAAACTTCTAGATGATAAACACAGGGGAAAATCTAGATGACCCTGGGTTTGGTGACGGCTTTTCAGATACAACACCAAAGGCACATTCCATGAAAAAAAGAACTGATAACCTGTCATTAGTGAAGCTAAGAATTTAACTTCATTAACATTTATATTTTCTATTCAGTAAAACATACTATCAAGAAAATGAAAAGATAAGCCACAGACAGATAAAATACTTGCAAAAGACAAATCTGATAAAGAACTGTTTTGTTTTGTTTTGAGACAAGAGTCTCACTCTATCACCCTGAGTAGAGTAAAGTGGCATCATCATAGCTCACTGTAACCTAAAACTCCTGGGCTCAAGTAATCCTCCTGCCTCAGCCTCTGAGTAGCTGGGACTACAAGCACATGCCACGACACCCAGCTGATTTTTGTATTTTTTGTAGAGAGGGAATCTTGCTCTTGCTCAGGCTGGTCTCCAACTTCTGACCTCACACGATCCTCCCACCTCGACCTCCTAGAGTGCTAGGATTATAGGCGTGAGCCACCATGACCCACCTCTGTTCTGTAATGTAAAATTATGTTATGTAAAATATACAAGGAACTCTTAAAATTCAACAATAAGAAAACAATCGCATAAAGGATGTCCAAAGACCTTAACAGACACCTCAACGAAAAAGATATACAGATGGTAAGTGGGCATATGAAAAATTCTCCACATGTCATTATGGAAAGGCAAACTAAACTATAAGATACCAGCCTGGCATACTGTATTATTTTTCTCAAATCCATCTTGTGCAACAAGAGGGAATTTTTATTACACAATTCAAAAGAACTCAAAACTCCACATGGATAAAAGAAATAACAGCTGAGAGACTCATATTTTAAGTGGACAGGTAAACATCATTTTTATTTTATTTTCATTAAGTACAGAAACTTCCGCCTACATTGTAAAATCATGAATCATGCCATTTAAA